TTATGATGATCATAGATTACAGTCTCTAGTATCAATTACACCTCTCTAAACAAAAACAACAACTATCAATTACCCCTCAACATAAAAAAAAAAAAAAAAAAAATCCTCACAGCTGGACCAGTACGCAACATCATGATAAATAGAGAAAATACTGACATTCTCAAGGACTTTTTTTGTCTTGGATTCACATTAATGCTCCTGTAAGCAGCAGTGAAGAAATCCAACAGTGTATTTCATTGGGAAGATATACTGCAAAAGAATCTTTAAAGTGTTAAAGGGAAAATATGTCATTTTAAGAACTAAAGTGTGCCTGACCGAAGTCATGGTATTTTCAATCAATTCATACGCATTAAAAAAAAATAATAAGAAGAAAAAACAAAGAAGAATTGATGCCTTTAGAATATGATGTTGGGAAATAACATTGAATATACGATGGATAGCCAGAAAAATTAATAAATCTGTCTTGGAAGAAGTGCACTAGAAATAATGATGGTAAGATTTTGGAAATAAGTGCTCCTTAGAAATAAGGATGGTATATCCTTTGGTTGGTCAATGATGATGCATGGAGGGGATTGTGACCATGGCAATGAAACGATGTGCAATGGGATCAATGTGAAGCTGATGTCCTCCCATGTAAACTATCACATAATTCACAATAAAGCATTAAAAAAAAAAAAAAGAAGAAGAAGAAGAAGGATCGTAAGATTTTGCTTCATGCGATTTGGACATGTTTCCAGGATGGACCAGTCCCTGGGAAAGTAGAAGGTCAACAAAATAGAAGAGGACCTTCAATGAGATAAACTGACAAATGACTACAAGAATGAGCTCAAACATAGCAAGGCTTGTGAAGAAGATGACAGGACCATGCATTGTTTCCTTCTTTCGTTCTGTTGTACGTGGGGTTCCTATGAACCAGAACTGACTCAACAGCACCTAAAAATGGCAATACCAAACACTATGTTTTTATTCATTCATTCACTGAGCGGGTTTTTTCTGCCTTTTTGCTTTTGTGAATAGTGTTGTAGTGAACTCTGGTGTACAAGTCTCTGCTTTCTAGTCTTTGGAGTGGAATTTCTGGAACATGGAAGGTTTGGGGAATGTTGTTGCTCTGTAGGTTAAGCACTGGACTACAACTCACAAGGTCAGTGGCTGGAGCCCAAAGCTGCTCCACAGGAGAAACATAATGGCACCTGTTCCCACAAAGATACACAACTTCGGAAGCAACTCGATGCCACTTAATAGCAACAGTGATAGCTCAATTTTTTGTTTTTTTGAGGATCCATCCCACTGTTTGCTATAAGAGTTATATTTGGCATTTCCACCAGCAGTGGCTAAAGGTTTCAATTTCCCAATATCTTTGCCAACATTTGTTTCTTTCTGTTGTTTTTTTTTTTTGTTGTTGTTGTTTATTTGTTTGTCTTGCCTTGTTTGTTTACTTGTTATTATTATTAAGAGCTTTCAGTCAGTTTTGGCTCATAGTGACCCTAACAGGGTTTCTGAGTAGCAGCTGGTTAGTTTGAACAGAACTAAACACTGCCCACTCCTATACCACACTGACAACTGTGGTTGGGTTGTTGTTATTAAGTGCCTGTAAATCAACTCTTACTCATAGTGACCCTGTATAGGGTTTCCCAGGAGCAGCTGTTGAGCAGCATAGACATCATAAAAAATAACCAAAATACCCAAAAAGATCCACTGCCATAGAGAATCTAAATCTTTATATGAGCAGAAAGGTTCTTCTTTATCCCAATGAGTGACTAGTGGGTTTGAACTGCTAATTTTATGGTTAGAGGTCCAGTGCTTATAATATAGCACCACCAAGTCTCCTTTGGAAGTAAAATGGTATCCATCTCACTGTGGCTTTTTTTGTTTGTTTGTTTATTTTCATCTCTCTGATAGATAATGATGTTGAGAGCAACTTTTTAAGTGTTTAATGGTCATTTGAACATCCACTTTGGTGAAATGTCAATGCAAGTCCTTTGCCCATTTTATTGTTGGTTTATTTGTCTTTTTATTGTTAAGTTGTTATAGTTTTATGTATATTTTGGTTATTAGAATCATCAGATGATATTTTCTGATGATATTCTTCCAGTCAGTAATTTGTCTTTTCTTTTTCCTTGGTAAAGTATTTTGCTAAAAATTTTTTTATGAATTTCCAGTTATTTATTTTATCTTTTGTTGTTTGTGATTTTTTAATTATATTAGAGTATGCCTTGTTGAAAGCTAAGCATGATAACAGTGTGCCTGCTTTTTCTTCTAAGAGTTTTATGGTTTTAATTTGCACTCTTAAGTACTTAATCCAGTTTGAATTAGTTTTTTGTGTATGGTATAAAGCATGGGACTAGCACAGGACCATCACTCAGAAATGTGACCAGTTATACTCTAGCATCATAGAAATCTACCTAAAATGTGTACATAGAAATTTCCAATCCTCAGAAGATTATTTGGTTGTTTCTAGTCCTAATGTAAGAACCAAATAATCTTCTGAGGATTGGAAATTTCTCTGTACAAAGTGATTCTTTCTAGTCCTAATGTAAGGAGCTCTGGTAGTGTAGTGGTTACGAATCGGGCTGTGAATCTCAAGGTCAGTAGTTTGAAACTACCAGCTGTAGTGCAGGAGAAAGATGAGGCTTCCTGCTCCTGCAAAGATTTACAGTCTCAGAAACCCTGTACAGGGTCGCTAGGGGTCGGAATCGACTCGACGGCACTTAACAACAACAACAACAACAACAGTTCTAATGTGGTGCTATAAGATCAGCACTGGACTGCTAATCACAAAGTTGGTAGTTCAAACCCACCAGCCACTCCTTGGAAACTCTATACAGGGTCACTGTGAGTCAGAACTGACTCAACTACACTTACACCACCATCACCATTTCATATCAATATTCCTCTTTCACCTTACCTAAGACGTGGAAATTGGAATGCTATATACCTCTAAAATTTAGAATGAATGATTGTGAAATTTTGTCAGAAGGTAGGAAAAAATATCTGCACACCCAAATTAGACTAAGTGACAAGTATTTTCTTTCCATCCCTCTATAACAGCAGTTCAACTAGAGCCAATTTTGAGTAGAGGTCAGGGATACTGCTAAGCATCACATAATACAAGGGACAGACTGACACAAAAAGAATGATCTAGTGTACAATGTTAATAGTAGTGAGATTGAGAAACTTTGCTCTAGCATACTTTGTAAGCCTTCTGTAGGATCAGTGGACTTTTCCATATCTTCATGGTCACAATGAACCTATATTTAAAGCCAATCAAAGACTGTTTCTGACAGTGTTTCCCCAAAAGACATTCAGAGTTTGGGGCCATCAGAGTGAGATCAATGAGAACAGCTGGGCTCTTGGACATCTCCATGGAAATTTTTAGGTTTTTCAATAATGCTCTAATTACTGCCCTGTCAAGTCACGAGGAGAACAGGTTGGCAAACATAGGTACTGAACTAAATAATCTGTGACATAATCTAAACATATAACGGTAATTAAGTCTGACAACTTAATATGCTACTGAAATTTAAATGTACAGTAGTAATCTACAATTAAGCAATCTTTTGTAATAGCACCCTGCCAGCCTGGAAGATTTCAGGTATAGTACTGTGTACTATTAGGTAGTAAAAATATTGACACTAGTACAATGTATTCAGGCTATGATCTGACATATATTCAAAAACCATTGCTCCACATGGGAAGATGGAGGTAATGCAGAAATATAGTGCTGTCCTTCAGCTAGTTTCGGAAACAGATATTTAAGAAGTCAGTGCAATGAATGTAGATGTGTCTGTAATCAATTAGAGCATTACCTCTGAAAGTCACTGTATTCTAAGCCCTTTATTAGCAGGGAATCAGAAACAGAAAGGAGGATTCAGAGCAGATTTTTCCCTTTAAGGGTTTTTTCCCTTTGAGGGAAACTGAGCTCAATGTTTTACTGAAAATGCCAGTCACACCTTGTATATTTTAACAGGACTTAAAAAAGTAGATATACTGAACATGAACTTTGGATTTGGTGCTGATCTGAGTGTGAAGCCCTGTCTATCACATACAAGCCTATATGATCTTGGACAATGTATATAAACACTGAGTCTCAACTTCCTCATGTCAGAGGTGATATAACTATACTTAACTCGCTGATTCAAGGTGACATTTACATAATTCTTACCTCTCTTCTGTATCCACTGCTCACAGCAGAGAGGGATAGTTTGCAAATGTTTATCAGATGATGTCAGTATCCTGCTTTTAAACCCTATTATAGCATTGTTCTTTTGGTGCACGTGCTCTTGTGTGTCATCAAGTCAATTTGGACTCATTATGACACTACAAGACAGAGTTATTGTTGTTGTTGTGTGCCGTGGAGTCGGTTCTGACTCATAGCGACCCTGTATAGGGGTTCCGAGGCTGTAAATCTTTACGGGAGCAGAAAGCCTCATCTTTCTCCTGTGGAACAGCTGGTAGTTTCGAACGGCTGACCTTGCGGTTCGCAGCCCGATTCGTAACCACTACACTACCAGAGCTCCTTACAAGACAGAGTAGAACCATGATTTCTTGTGTTATCACCTTTATGGGAGCAGATTGCCAGTTTTGTTCTCGTATGAAGCAGCAGGGCATTTCAAACCTCCAACCTTTCAGCTAGCAGCAGAGGGCTTAAATTTTGTGCTACCAGTGCTCCTCTTATTAGGTACCACCAGCCATTATTTCTTAGGGAAATGGAGGTGTTACATATTGTAGTACATAGCATTCCCTTCAAAAACAATCATACTTTGAACTCTCTCTTTTCCCTCCCCCACCTCAACTGAAAATTCCTCATCTCCCATTCTTCGTCCGTGTCTCAGAAACTGGACCCACATTGCTCCCTGCCATTCATCCCACATCCCATGTCCTCATCTATTACTTAACTCAGTAAACAAAGAATCTTCAAAGATTTTACCTCTTCAAAGGCAGCAGGGAATTTTAAATTACAAGTATAATGTTAACTTTCACATTTTTATTTCCTGTTACAGTGTTCTCAGAAAAGTTCAAGGAAAGTAGGCAACAGTTTTAAGACTTAAAAATTTTTTTTTTTTTTTTCTCTATCGATGCCCTTCTGAAGAGAGGACTTGAAACATGAAATTAACTATTGAGACCCAGTAACTAGTTGTCATTCAATAGATTTCAACTCATGGTGACCTCATATATGTTAGAGCAGAATTCTGCTCCCCAATATTAACGAATGTGAACCAATAACTTTTTACCATCCAGTAGATTCCAACTCATCGTGACCCCACGTGTATCAGTGTAAGAATTGTGCTGATTTTTTGGAAATACATTAACAAAACCATTAGCTCAACCCAAGGATTCTTTTAAAGTACACCTTTCTGTTGAAAGCATCATTTTTGTTTTTATAGGACGCTGCAGTTTCCATTTCTCTCTTCCCTTTTGTTTCTTTGCATTTGTTGTTTGATTTGGGAAACAATATTGTGGTGTTTTCCTTTCCTTTGACACTCTTCATGGATTTCCACATTTGAAAGCTATGTTTTGGCACAGTTCTGTATATAGGTTATCCTTGGAATTTGAGATTCCTAGGGTTCAGTGAAGTGCCTTACATTCTCAGGCAGGAGGAAAATCTGTCTACAAACCGAGCACAGAGATCAAGAACTCCCAAGTTGCAATTCATCCTGGACTTAAGAAATTTTCAGCACATTCCAAAAATTGGGTCAGGTTATCCAGAGTGAAGGAAGACTGTCTCGCTGAGAGGCAAGGTGTCTTGAGCAGTGTCTCACCTCTGAACAGATGTCAAAGAGGCAGAAGCCAGTTTTAATGCCTCTAAAGCACTCATGGAGCAGCCCCGCCTATTTATTTACAGCATCCTAAAAGTTTTACAATTAAATTGACATGGTTTGAGGCACTGCCTGGCTGAGCCATTACCCAGCACTACCACTCCATGGAGAATAATCATATTTTAGTTACGATGTCAATAAGCAACTCCTGGGACAGCTTTGCCTTTTTGTAATTCATTTGAAGTGCCACTTAGAAAATACACACACACATACACCACATGCTTCTCAAAAGGATCTGCTGAGGAGGCCCAAATACTCTCTCTCCCTTTTTTTTCTCTAAATATAGAAGAGAATTTGGATTTGTTCATGGGAGTAATATTGCTAAGATAAAGTCCCAAACTGCATAATGTGCAGTTTGGGTCTTTATCATATTTTTCTTTACATACTTTTTTCAGTTTTGTTTGCATTTCTCATCTCTTTTCTTCTTTGCTGTCTGTGTCTACAGATGGGCTTGTCCAGAATTTAACTGGATGTCTGAGGACCTCAAGACACCGAAGAATTCCTATCATAACTGAACTGAGTAAGTTGTGTTCTATGGGGAAAAAATCAAGGCAGAAATATTTATGATACATAATTAATGCCCCAAGGTTCTCTTTATAATCCACAGTCAAAAGACTGAGGAACCAGAATGGGGCCAGGAGACCATTAAGTGCTTGGCAGTATACTACATTGGGCTTTTACCTGATTGATGACATCATCTAATAGATCCAGGTAGATCTGGGTGTCAGGGTTAAGAATAACATCTACCTTCTTCACTTATCCAAATACTATGCGAGGGACTCAAGCAATGGGGTTAGTCTTATTTAGACAATATTTCCCATGGGAGGAAGCATGCATTTATAGACTGCTAGAAAGCACTTGGGGAGTGCTTGTGTGGAACTGTAAGTCAGTGGTTCAAGCTCACCAGTCAATCCTCAGAAACGCTATACAGATTTGCTATGGATCGGAACCAGTCAATGGCACTTCACAACAACAAGAAGAATAAAGTATCTGGAGTCCAGATACGGAGCTGTAGGATAAGCACTGGATTGCTAACCATAAAATTGGTGGTTGAAACCCTCCAACGGCTCCTTGGAAACCCTGTACAGGGTCATTATGCATTACTATCAGCTGGCTAGCACTTAACAGAACAAAACCAGAAAGTATCTAAGGAGTCCTGGTAGTACTGTGGGCAATGCACTGGACTGTTAACCAAAGGATTGGTGGTTCAAACCCATCCCATAAAGATTTCCAGGCTCAGAAACCTTATATAGGGTCACTGTGAGCCAGTGGGCTTAGTTAGAAAAGCATCCATCCATCGATCATGGGTCTTTAGGTAGACCACCTGTTTTTCTTACAGTGATACTAGGGCCAGGATGAGACCTAGGCACATGAGCCTCTAGGATGCAAAATTTAAGGAGGTATTCTACTTTCAGTATCCTAATATTTCTGTGTGTCAGCTGTCTGTCTTACTTCATCCTAACCTGACAGATAATCTTCAAAAATATAAATATCCCTTGAGAATTAGCACAATATTGTTTCTCACCAACAATTTGTACAAAATAAACTTGTCAGATACTTTTCTACACATAAGGGACTCTATGCCGAAATCACAATAGGAAAAGGTCAAGAAAGGTGCCCGTATGCATTTTAAAGGGCTATTGTAAGGAGCTTTGGTGGTGTAGTGGTTATGAATCAGGCTGCAAGCTGCAAGGTCAGTAGTTCGAAACTACCAGCTGTTCCACAGTAGAAAGATGAGGCTTTCTGCTCCCATAAAGATTTACAGCTTCAGAAACCCTGTACAGGGTCACTATGAGTCAGAACTGACTCCATGGCACGTAACAACAACAACAACATTGGTGGGGCATTAGGTAACACACTGGGATAAGAGATGCATCTCTGACTCAGTTTGAACCACTTTATAGATTATCTCTATGATTGGCCCTAAGTGTGTAGTTTGACCTGACCCCATAATATTGCAAAATTCTTTCTGAGCTTTTTACAATTTTAACTTTTTGTCACTGGGTAGGACAAAGAGTTAAAAGTTCAACTAGAAGCTAAAAGGTTGACTGTATGAGAGCCCATCTAAATCTGCCTCACAAGACAGGCCTGGTGATCTGCTTTCAAAAGGTCGCAGCCTTGGAAACTCCATGGAGCAACTGTACTCTGCATTCATGGGGTTGTACTCACCATGTGTTAGAATCAGCCAGATAGCAACAACAACACAGCCAAGTGAAACTTGTATCAAAGTGGTCGTGGTGGTGGTGGTGCGCTGTGGAATTGGTTCTGACTCATAGTGACCCTGAATAGGGTTTACGAGTCTGTAAATCTTTACGGGAGCAGAAAGCCTCATCTGTCTCCCACAGAATAGCTGGTAGTTTTGAATTGCTGATCTTGAGGTTAGTACCCAACTCATAACCACTATGCTACCAAAGTTCCTTGATGTCAAAGTAGATAAACAGAATTTTTAGTCCTGTATATGAAGCAAGTGAGAAATCACTGAGTGGCAGTGTAGTGTGTGGGAAGTCAGACTACCCTGAGTAATGGAGCAGAGGATCTACATATTCAGTGTTGGAGATATCAAATTCTGTGATTCTGGTCAGTGTGACATGTTGAACCTATCAGCTGTTCTTTTTATTTATTTGTTATTTCTGTTTGAACAACCTCCAACTCCTGAGGTGTATATACATTCAGCATGTTAATTAGAAGATTGTAAGCTAGAATGATTGGAAGATCAGCCAACCTTTCATACTAGGGGAGGGCAGAGAGAGCTTGTCAGAATAGCCTAACAAATCATCCTGAATCTTGCTCAGTTTCTTCTTTTCTGGCTGACTAGAGGCAGCTTCAGACATGACTGTAGCATTTTGCTACAGAATCCTTGATGACCTTCAGGCAAGTGATTATGAAAGTTGAGGTCACTGGTTTGGGATGATATACAAAGATCTGGACAATACTCATTGGATGTGTGTATGTGTGTCAGCATGTTTGTATATGTATGTTGAAGAATAGCAACACAAGGAGAGAAAAGTGGATTACATAGGAGATATTACTGAAGGAGGAAGTCTGACATGCATTGAAGGAATTGGAAAAGAACAAGGCACCAGGATTTGATGGAATAAAAATTGGAATCTTTCAAGAAGGCGAGGCACCACAGGAGTCATTCACTCACCTCTGCCAAGAAATTTGGAAGACAACTATCTGGCCGACTGATTGGAAGAGATCCATATTTGTGCCCATTCCAAAGGGAGGTGACCCAAGGGGATGCAGAAACCGTTGAGCAATATCTTTGATATCCTATGTGAGTAAAGTTGTACTAAATGTAATACAGAAATGGCTGCAAGCATATATTGACAAAGCACTTCCAGAGGTTCAAACAAGATTCAGAAGAGAATGTGGAATGAGGGATATCATTGCTGATGTCCGATGGATCTTGGATGACAGCAGAGAATACCAGAAAGATGTTTACCTGTGCTTTATTAACTACACAAAGGCTTTTGATTGTGTGGATCATGACAAGCTATGTACAACATCATGAAGTATGAGTATTCCTGAACACTTGATTATGCTCATGATGAATGTGTACCTGGACCAAGAGGCAGTTGTTTGAACAGAACATGGGAACACTGAATGGTTTCAAATTAAGAAAGGTGTGCCACAGGGTTGTGTCGGGGACCCGCCTCGACATAGGGGTTCGGTTCACGAGGAGGAGATACCTGACGGCGATTCATATATATCAAGAATACACAGAAGGAGACAAAGAGAGACAATGAGGCACCCCAAAGCCAGGGTGGATACATCACTG